AAAAAAAAAAAAAAAACAAGCCAAACAAATTCATGAATCAAAATATTATGGTAAAATATTTATCAAAATTTCAAAATTTCGAATTGTTAACTTACTAAAACTAATAAGAAAACGCGATATCTCCGTAGTTTGTATTAACCTTCTTGGGCGATTCTACTATCTGGCAGGCTATTTTTTGGTTTGTACATACCTAACCTCTGGTATCTCTTAAATAAATGACAAGTGTCCTTAGGGATTTGGGTAAGTACTGAAATACCCCTAATGAAAAAAATTTGTACTGAATTTACATCAAAGGTCTTGAAATATTGATTTCTTAACATTCACCCTAAACATAATTTCATTTTTCAATTAAAACACCAATTATTCATAAATTGCGTATGGATTTCATTTTATTCATAAATTGCGTATGGATTTAAACCCAAGACAAGATAACGAAGAACCTGCACAGACACACACACACAATCAATTGTCCGCACCCAGAGATGAAGGTGAATAATTAATCCATATGTATTTTCGTGTTCTTCATTTCTTTGTCCATTCGTCATTTATAATCGATGGTTAAGGATGATGTTTGGGTGCGTGTGTGTGTGTGTGTGAGGTTATGAATATCGATGGTTACATTGATAATGAATGATATTGTTGTATCATGTTCGGGAAAACATTACCCCGTGTCTGATTAGTGATATGAATTGGGTTTGTGGGTGTTAAGCATTAAATTTTCTGATATTGTTATATTATCCTTTGACAAGCACATTATATGTTCGATGATATGTCTTAACGAAGACCGCTTGTCTGAGTAGTCATGGACTCATGTAACGTTGTTGTAAATGATATGGACAGCCTTCTCGGTGTCGTGACGATGAGTGGGACTTTCAATAATCACGTTCTATACTTGATAGAAGTCATGTTGAAGGTTGAGTCCCATTAAGCCTGTACAATAAAATTTTAAGGTGTTGCAGGACTGCATTCATTCATAGAGTTTTATTGCAGATATAAGTCATCCGTTCTTACAAAACAGTACAACTTTCTACTGTTTGTCCAAATGTACCACTTTTCACACACAAATGATTGTTTACCTTAATGCTTGAACCTTTTAAAAAATCACAAATATAGGCAAGTTGGCATTAATGATATTATCACACTCCAAGAAGTTGTATAAGTTTAATCTACTATCTTATTTCCAAATTGCTCATAATTATAAGCTTTAGTGTATTTCGGCTCCTTTCAAATGGCTGTAGCAGGACCTTAATGATTGTGAAGTGCTGGCAGAGGGAAAGATGTTTGGAAATCTATATATTTTCAATCACAAATTTTATGCAAACAATCCTTGTTATGTTTTTAGTACTAGCTTGAAAGCTCGCATATTTTTTTTTTTACATGCATCTGTAAGTACTATGAATCATTTTGATTTGTTTGAAACCATGTTTCAGATCCAGTTTAAGTCCCTTGAAGAATATTTGGACATGCATCTGTAAGTATTATTTGTTTGAAACTTGTGCTATTGCAAAACACCACAGGGACCATTTTCCCATTTCTAACTGAAGTGAAGATTAATCAATACAAGTAGAAAAAAAATAAGACATAAAAACTAATTTACAACAGTTCTGATTTAGTTCATTCTTCATTGAACATGACTTCCAATTGGGTCAATGTCTTCAAGTCCCTTATCTTCACTTACGTCTGGAATGCAAAATGAGTTCTCTTTACCAACAAAAGACTGTGATGGTTGGGTACTCATTTTTTTTTTTTATTGACAAGTGGTTGTTTTATGTCCGAGTTCGCTGCAAGAACAATCATGTCGTTAGCATTACTTG